TGTTCTTATGTTTGCTAGGAGCCCGTATGCTTCAGCAGTTATTTGCTTGATGCGTACCTCAGATGTGCCCGGTGTTATACTCACCCCAAGATCCTTTTCCTTGAATTAGGTTTGTAGTCTCTGGCCCCCTAGATTATATTCCGTCTGTGATCTTCTTTGCCCTTCCCCAATCTTCATGACTTTGCACTTAGTGGGCTTGAACTCCAGGAGCCATTTGCTGGACCAGGCCTGCAGCCTGTCCAGATTCAATTGTAGTTCTGCCTGGTCCTCGCCCAATTGAATTCTTCTCATCAACTTCACGTCATCTGCAAACAGGGACACTTCTGAGTCTATTCCTTCCGTCAAGTTGTTCACAAATACCAGAAACAGCACCGGTCCTAGGACTGACCCCTGTAGAACACCGCTCATCACAGGTACCCACTCTGACACCTCGCCATGTATCATGACTCGCTGTTGTCTTCCTGACAGGTATTCCCTGATCCATTGCAGTGCCTTCCGTTATACCTGCCTGGTCCTCCAGCTTTTGCACTAACCTCCTGTGTGGAACTGTGTCAAATGCCTTCCTACAGTCCAAGAAAATGCAATCTACCCACCCCTCTCTCTCTTGTCTTACTGCTGTCACCCTGTCATAGAACCCCAGTAGGTTTGTGACACAGGATTTCCCATCCCTGAAACTGTGCTGGCTGTCATTGATAAGCTCATTCCTTTCTAGGTGCTCCACCACTCTTCTGATAATCTTCTAAGTGTAGGTATACAGACTAGCAGTGCAGGTGTAACAGTGTAGGTGTAGATTTAACAATTCTGGCCACAAAATAGAGCGAAACACCAACGTCAAAGACCTGGGAGTGATCATGTCGGAGGATCTCACTTTCAAGGACCATAACATTGTATCAATCGCATCTGCTAGAAAAATGACAGGATGGATAATGAGAACCTTCAAAACTAGGGAGGCCAAGCCCATGATGACACTCTTCAGGTCACTTGTTCTATCTAGGCAGGAATATTGCTGCACACTAACAGCACCTTTCAAGGCAGGTGAAATTGCTGACCTAGAAAATGTACAGAGAACCTTCACGGCGCACATAACGGAGATAAAACACCTCAATTACTGGGAGCGCTTGAGGTTCCTGAACCTGTATTCCCTGGAATGCAGGCGGGAGAGATACATGATTATATACACCTGGAAAATCCTAGAGGGGCTAGTACCGAACTTGCACACGAAAATCACTCTCTACGAAAGCAAAAGACTTGGCAGACGATGCAACATCCCCCCAATGAAAAGCAGGGGTGTCACTAGCACGTTAAGAGACCATACAATAAGTGTCAGGGACCCGAGACTGTTCAACTGCCTCCCAGCATACATAAGGGGGATTACCAACAGATCCCTGACAGCCTTCAAGCTGGCACTGGACAAGCACCTAAAGTCGGTGCCTGACCAGCCGGGCTGTGGCTCGTACGTTGGTTTGCGTGCAGCCAGCAGTAACAGCCTGGTTGATCAGGCTCTGATCCACCAGGAGGCCTGGTCACAGACCGGGCCGCGGGGGCGTTGACCCCCAGAACTCTCTCCAAGTAAACTCCAGGTAACAGTGTAGGTGTAACAGTGTAGGTGTAACAGTGTAGGTGTAACAGTGTAGGTGTAACAGTGTAGGTGTAGCAGTATAGGTGTAGCAGTGTAGGTGTAGCAGTGTAGGTGTAGCAGTGTAGGTGTAGCAGTGTAGGTGTAACAGTGTAGGTGTAACAGTGAAGGTGTAGCAGTGTAGGTGTAACAGACTATCCCATTTCTTGACAACTCTGTGACTGAAGAAATACTTCCTAACATCCCTTTGACTCCTCAGTTCCTTCCAGCAGAAATTCCCACTCTTCATAATGTGTTTTCCCGTCTTGGCTACCCTTCCTATTTCATAGACTCTGCCCTCTCACGTGCTAAATGCAATTTCTTCTCTCCCAAACTCTCTACTCCTGGGAACTCTTCTATCCTCTGCCTTCCCTACATTTCCGGTCTTTCTAATCTCAACAATTCTCTCCGTCCCTTAGACATCAAGCTTACCTTCCGCCAGACTAACACTCTTCGCACTAATCTCGTTCATACCTCTCCTCCCTCTACAGATGTTCCTGGTGTCTACTCTATTTCTTGCTCCTCCTGTCCTCTTCAGTACTTCGGAGAAACTGGTCAATCTCTTTCTGACAGACTTAGGGAGCACAAAAATAGTGTTAGGCTTGCCGACACTAACAATTCTCTTTTCTGTCACGTCAGAGATCATAGCCATCCTACTGACTGGTCTTCTGCTAAAACTGCCTTCCCTACTTCCAACTTGAACAGTCGCCGTCTAGTTGAATCCTCTCTAATACACAACTTTCCTTGTATGAATCTTAGCCCTGGCTTCGTCTCTGTAGATGCCTTCCTCTCTCACTTCATTGTAAAATGCTCCAAACTTCAGAACACCCGTGACTTAACCTGACTCCTCATTTTTTCTTTTTCTTTTTCTTCCCCTTTCCTCTTTCCTTTTTCTCCTCTGGGTTGTCTTTCTCTCTTCTGTCTCGTGTTTCTGTTCCTTCTTCATTTATTTCACCACTTCCCCTTTCACGCACCTCTGTGCGCTTGCTCTCCCTCTGTGGGCACCTAGCTCTCTTGCAGTGCTCCCCTTCCTTTGTATTTGACTGGCTCGTCCTCCTTATTCCCCACTTCTACCACTACTACTACTACTACTTCTGATGAAATTAAGACACAAGTGCGGCGTCTGGTTGTCTTTGTTGTGGACGTTTCGCATTTGTACGCATTTGTACGTGTATGTTTGGGAGTCTGAAATGGACTAATCTACTTCACAATATTTCTTATGGGAACAAATTTGGTCAGTACTGGCACCTGAACATACTTCTGGAGTGAAAAAATATCGTTAACCGGGGGTCCACTGTATATAGAATACCTCGTAAGGCGGCTCACTACAGTACTGTTGTCAGTAGTGACAATCATGACTAAAATCTGAAAATTGGGACATTCAGGTTCATTCCAAGGAAGGGAAAGTAAAGTCTAGTTCCTCATATCAAGATTATTAATTATATTCATGAAGAGATGGGAGAGGAATGATAAACCTGTAGGGGTCATCCAGTGCATGAGGGAATGGAATTCAGTCAAGTTCAGTTCACAGAAGGGGAGATCGCCTGTGGAAATGGGAGGTATTTGGGTTTGATCTAAGGGGAGTACAAATCCAGTTGCTGGGATCAAGAGTCTCACTGGCATTAAGAAACCTCTACTTGAATTATTATTATAATCAAATCCATGCTAAACCCACCAGGGTCATACAGCACTGCAGGGTAGGGAGTATAACAGAGGTAGAGTTTGTGAGGAATGCTGAAGGAAGTACAAAGGTCATGCAATAAAAATGTTGCTGCCAAAGTCAAAGAGGAAATCTGTGTCAAAGGTGGGGCTGTCAGCGAGGAGTGAAGGTAAAGTAAAGGTATTAGAGCAGTGACGATGTCAAAGGTAACCTCCACTTGAAGGGTAATTAACCCTTAAATGGTCCAAACGTATATATACGTTCACGCGCGTAGCGCCCCAAACGTATATATACGTTTTCTTTGTCATTCATTCAACATTGCCACGATAAGCCTGAGTCACCTAGACATGAGAGAATTGGTGTGCGCACTCACTGTGTGCCATATTAAAATAATTATGGATGCCTGGGTACCATATGCTCTTTTTTCCTATTAAAAAAAAAAAAGATTTTTTTTTTCTCAAAAAATTTGGGGCGCTACGCGAGTGAACGTACATATACGTTTGGACCGTTTAAGGGTTAAATAGTAACTGGGCTACTGGCAAGCCACATCATCCCATTGTTGGTTGTGAAAATTATTAAATTTATGGGGAAGCTCTAAACCCAAATAATACAGTGCCAGGTGATTGTGAGAAGCACTGGCTCATGACTCATCTGAGGCCATCTCATAGAAAACTGTCCTGTGTTCACTGCAAGAACTGCCAGATCACACTCAACAGTCCAATATCCTTTAAAAAACTGTCACATTTATCAGAGCACCCCAAAGTAATCATTCAACCTCTCCTTCAGTGCTGTAACATGCGTACTTTGATTATCCTGTCACCAAAACCTGACTGGTCAGGAACTAGAGCTCAATTAGCAGATAGAGGATTAAGCTTCCACCACTCCTTGGAATGACCCACACAGGTTCAGTGTTTCTTGAAATGCAATATAATACTTTTTTGGAAGTTGCCAACTTTTTTGTAGTTTCTATTATCATTCAAATCTGATATACTGCGCTTACTTTGTGTTCCTTTGCACTCACCTTCAGTACTTTTGGTTTTTAACCTCTGACACCAGTTCCCACTTTGCCATGCAGCCCTGAATAACCCTCTCGAGTTTAGCACTTTACATAGAGTAAAATGAATTAGGTGTGTGTTAAAAGAAAAACTAATTAAAACTGGAATAGAAAATCAAGAGTGAAGTACCTCATTGGAAACAGAGGTGCAAAGCATAGAATCTTGCCTTTTACTGAAAGACAAAGCATAAAGTATAATCCTATTCCTTAATGGTGATGTGATATTTACAAACTTATTTGATTGGTAGAGCCATCTACAGGGCTACCTCAACTTGTACTTGTGTCTTGTGCCCCTTCCCTGCTTTCTGGTAATGCCTATCATTTCTCCAGTCTTACTTTTGCCTGCAGATGTACTTCTCCACCCACTTCCAGCAATACCCACCCAATACTCTAGTCTTCTGCCCTCAGGCATACCCCTCCCACTACATACTGCTTTTTCATTCTTACTTCTGCACTCAGATGCATCCTTACCCTACTCTCCAGCAATACCTACTACTTCTCCATTCTTACTTCTGCCCCCAGAACCTTCAATATAATGACTTTTTCCTTTTTTAATTAAATAAAATTTCACAACATATTTGCTTAGTGCTTCCTATAACTTTTTAAAATACTATTCTTTTCATTATCAGAACACAGGCACACACATTTCAAGATAGGTTCAATGAAAAAAATTTAAAATGCAATTCCAATTGTTACTGAACATTAATTAAAAGTTACAAGTTTTATCAACAAATTTGGAGTATTATGTGCTTCTACATAAAGTATGAACTGGGGACACAAAGGCACAATGCACAATATTAACCAGTTTTATTCACTATAAAAGCACTACTAACATTTTCATAAGAGGCTTCATAAGATGGAGTAACAATGTCAACACTATTTATAAATGTATTATATAAACAAGATTAGAAGTTTTTTTCCTTCAAGTTAGTTTTTTATTTTTTCACATGACTGTGTTTTAAGGATATTGTAAACAAAGAACAAAAAGGTACAATACTATGAATGGAGCAGTACACAAATAACCCACACATAGGTGAGGAGGAGGAGCTTATGATGACATTTTGGTCTGACTTGGACCATTTACAGAGTCACACTAACAGAAAAAGAGTGAGGAAGCCAGTTTATATAGGAGAGCAGGAAAACAGACAGGAACAAGAGAGGAAGAAGAGGGAGTAGTGGTAATGGTAGGTAAGTAGTGGAGGTAGTAGTAGAAGAAATAGTGGTGGCAAAAAGTAGGGAGAGTAGTTTAGTGCCAAGAGAGAAAAAAACGGGCAGTGAAGGGTGAAGTCACTTGTTCTCGGTGAACAGCATTTGGTGCACCACTTTCTATTATCTCAGTTCGAGTGATTAAGATCCTCATGCAGTACTTCCGGATATATTCCAGGTGGGAGTCGGTAATGCAGGTGGTGGCTGTGAGCTTTGGTGATCAATCAGCCTGTGGCTAAAGCTGCACAATCCTCCACGCGCAGAGTCTTATTACTGAATTTAGCTTTACAGGTTTTTTATATAAGTGAGCAAGACTCTCTCTAGTCCTGTGCATGGTTTGTTCTCACTTCTGTTGAGTGCGTCCTTTCTTAGCGATGGCGGCTGTTGATAATGGAGCTCCATTTCGATGTCTTGAGTGTAGTATGGTTTGTAGAACCAAGAGTGGATTGTCCATCCATAGGAGACGCAAGCATCCCAACGAATATCATAGGGATGTGGAGGGGGCTGTTGTCTATGTAAAGACCAGATGGTCTAAAGAAGAAGAGTATGTGTTAGCTATGGCTAAGGTGAAGATCCTGAGAGAGGCCAGGAATATGGGTCAAGGTGTTCCTGTTGGGATGAACCTGATGTTGGTGCAAGTCCATACCAAGAAATCAGTGGAAGCAATCAAGGGCCACAGGACGGTGGCATCCTATAGAGCTTTGGTTGATAGATTAATGTCTGAAGTTATTGTTGATGGTGGTGGTTTTCAAAGGATTCAAGATGTCTTTCACCAGGAGGTTGAGAGCGACGAAATTGGGGGAAGGGATGGGCAATTTGGAATTCAGAACTCCCACAATGTGTGTGTTCCAACAGTACATGCACTAACACAGCACCTACTTGATACAATGAATACATGTGCATACACAAACACATCTCAGAAACTACAGAACATGTTACATTTTGTTACTCTATGTGTGGAGAAAATGAGGGAAGGGTTTGGGGAATTTGGTTTCACTAATGAATGTATTACCTCTGTTCAGAGTGTATTAGATGAAATGTCATTAACTATGGTTACTTATGTTACTAAAAAATGAAAGGGAAGCTGACCAAGAAAGGAATGCCCCCCAGTATAACAACAACAGGGGAGGAAGAAGAGCCCGAAGGAGACAAGTTTATAGAGACTTGCAGAAGTTGTACAACAAAGATAGGACTAAGTGTGCAAAAATGGTACTGGAAGGAAGATGGCAGCACATGGGTGCCCCTGAACAGCAAGCTATACTCAAAGAACAATTGCAAGAGTTTTGGTTGAATTTGTTTGCTAGACTATTGGATGAAGCTGCAAGACCGAGGCGGATGCTAGTCGAAAACCATCTATGGCAGTTGCATTTACCAGTACAGTTAGAAGAGTTTAGGAAAGCGGTAGCTATGTGCAATGGCAGTTCTGTGCCAGGTCCTGATGGATGGATGCTTAAAGATTTTAAAATGTTTCCAGAGCAGTTCTGGGTCGACTTGTTCAACATCTGGTTGTATATTGGTTATTTGCCAAAAGTGTTTAGGAAGGCTAGAACTGTGTTGCTGCCTAAGGTGGATCGTCCTGACCAACCAGGTCAGTACAGACCCATCACTATATCGAGTATTATTGTGAGAGTGCTCCATAAAATATTGGCAGCAAGGTGTGTCAACTGGGTTCCTCTCCATGTGGCACAAAGAGCGTTCCTACCAACAGACGGCCTGGCCCAGAATGTTATGTTGTGGGATGCAATAATTAGCGAGAGCAAAACCAAGATCAAACCGCTTTATACTATATTTTTAGATGTGAAGAAGGCCTATGACTCGGTGAACCATCCTTCTGTTAGAAAGGCATTACAATTACATAATGTGCCCCCCTTAGTAATCAACTATATTATGTCAACTTATGTTGGTGCAACTACAGAAGTAATGGGAAGAGAAGGAAAAGTGTGTAGAGGGGTTAAGCAAGGGAACCCCCTCTCATGCATCCTCTTCAATATAGTAATGAATGATGCTTTTTTGGCTTTAAATGAACAGATTGGATGGCCAATAGCCGAGGCTGAGTCAAAGGTGTTTGCCTTGGCTTTTGCTGTTGATGTGGAGTTGGTAGCTGAGTCCGAGCAAGGTCTTCATGCACAGTTACAGCATTTCCTGAGGCAGTTGGAAGCGTCGGGGTTGGAAATAAAGTCATAGAAGTGTGGCACCTTAAAACTTAAAACAGTACCGAAAATGAGGAAATGGTACGTGGATTCGATGCATAAAATGGAAATATATGGAGCCCAGGTGCAATCCCTTCAACCCACTACAGTATATAAGTATCCGGGAATGCACTTTTCTTCAGCTGGTAGGGAAAAGCCAAATATCCAAAAGCTTCGTGAGAAACTTGTGGCACTTGATGAAGCTCCCCTGAAACCACAACAGCATTTATACATATTAAATAAGCACCTGATCCCTGGTATCATACATATTATGGTACTGGGTGGCGTCTGTCAGAATACCTTGAAGACGTTGGACAAGTTGATCAGGCAGATGGTGAAGAAATGGCTTAAGTTTCCGAAAGATACACCTATTAACGTTTATTACGCACCGACTGCTGCGTGGGGTCTAGGGTGTATTTGCTTGTCAACAAGGGTTCCGATATTATGGAGGAACAACTCTGAAGATCTGGTAATACCGAACCTAGCAATACATCCGAACACCATTAAAGCATTAAGATTTGTCGGACGAAGCAAAGTGAGGAATGTTGTTGTAACAACACGACGGCAGGAGTTAAAAGAATGGACCAATGTTCTAGTTGGTTCGCTAGATGGTGTGGGACTGAAAGAACATCATTTCGCCCCACAAGTCCATAAGTGGATGGCAAATGGAACGAACCTCACGAAGGGGGCCACATATATTGATGCCTTGAAAATAAACATAATTTGATGCCAACGAAAACAAGGCGTGCAAGAGAATGAAGACCAGCAAATACAACCTGTGAGAGTTGTGATCAAAATGAGTCCTTGGGACACCTTCTGCAAGTATGTCCAAGACTCCACGGGCAACGGGTCCGATGACACGAAAACGTTGTGGATGCTATCACCACAGATTGTATGGTGAAGAAACATGCTGTGGCCAAGGAGCCGCAGATACCAACTGTGCATGGAACATGTAAGCCTGACTTGCTGATTTGTGACATGGAAAACAGAAAGACATTCGTCTTCGACATAAAGATTGCGAGTGATTCTAACATCACGTCCATGGCGGACCAGTATCGACAGAAGGTCAAGTACTACAATACTGGGCAGATCAGAAGTTGGGCTGGACGATGGGCGACCCAGCAGCTCCATCTCTACAACACACAGCAAGACAACGCTGAGTCGCTGCCGATCATTATCGACATACAGCCCACTGACCCTCAAGAAGTTGTCCTTGGAGCAGTGATAATTACCTGGAGAGGTGCAATGTTCCCACAATCATACAAGATACTCAATAATGAACTTAAAATACCAACATCTAAGATTGAGTTGTATGTTGTGAAGGCCCTAGAAGGTTCAATAGTGCAGTGAAGAATGCATACCCAGTGGGGTGGCCATAGAGCTTAGAACCCCTGGTAAGAGAGTTGCAAGACCTCATAGATCTAAGATCTAGTAGTGTTATGACTGGGCCTTGCACAAATGGTGGGTAAGTTAGAACATGACCCACTAGGAGGGACCTCTAAGCAGAAGACAGACGAGAAGCAGCCAAGAGGCCAGCCGTCCCTAAAGGTAAATTTTATGCCTATAAATGACATGACGGCTCAAAAAAAAAAAAAAAATAGTAGTAGTCGTAGAGGAATGGGAGAAAAAGGACTAAGTAGAGGTAGAAGTGAGGTCAGTCTAAGGAGAAGAAAAAGGATCACTGCAGGAGAGCGAAGGGCCTGCAAGGGGTAGGACCAAATGCAGGGAGGAAAGCTGACTAACAGTTTTCTTCCCCTGCATCTGGTTCTACCCCTTGCGGGCCCTTAGCTCTTTTGCAATGAACCTTTTTCTTGTCCTTAGACTGACCCCACTTCTACTTAGTCCCTTCCCCCCATTCCTCTACTACTGCTACTGCCTTTACTTTTGCCTCCCTTCACTCCCCCTTTTTTCTCTTTTGCCACTAAACTACTCTCCCTACTTTATACTACCACTATTTTTACTACTACCACCTCCACTACCACTACTTCCTCTTCTCACTCTCTTGTTCTAGTCCCTTTTCCTGCTAGCCTATATAAATTGGTTGCCTCACTCTTTTCTGTTAGTATGACTTTGTAAATGGTCCAAGTCAGACCAAAACATTGTCATAAGCTCCTCCTCTCTCTCCTATGTGTGGGTTATTTGTGTAATGTTTTAAACAAGTTCACATGTTGACAAGATCCCTCCATCTCGTGACACCTCTTAAATAGCCGTGGTTCTTGTTATTAGTGAATCAGTTAAGAGTAATAACCTGCAAATAGTTATTTATCTTAGGAAGATTTAGTCAAACACTCTTTACTGTTTTACTGTGAGAGATTTCAATCATATTATATACAGTGACAATTTAACAGATTTTTGCTTAAATAAATTAAACTCTTGCTTAAATGTTCAACTACAGTTGAATTTCAGTTTACTCCAGACTAAAACACGCTCTGAATCATGTGTCTTGCTAGTGCTTTACTCCCTCCATATCTGCAAGGGATATGTCCTTGTGAATGGTAATTCACAGATAGAAAATATACTTCAATACATTTCTGGAAGCCTATTTTAGTGAATACTGAACCCAACAACAGATAAGGGACATTAGGATGTACTGTACTATACCACAGCTCACAGTCAGAAACCTGTAGATATAGAAGGAGTATAGCTTTGCTTTTCCAGTTAGATATACATATAATCTATTACATTTGGATAGATGTTGTTTTGTATGCTCTGAATGATAAAGCAAGCAGCTCTAAATACCCATAAAAATGCTAAACTGATCTTGGATTACCAAGAAAAGTATCAGAGCTGATTGCAAAGCACCTGAAATATGATAAAAAAAATCCAAATTTTATATATAAATCAACTGCCTTTTAGTACATTGCATACAAGTAATATTTTACACCAAGATACTGGTTTGCTTAAGCTGCTTAAAAGAAATTTTTTTTCAAGTTAACCTGTTACTTTGTTGTGCACTAGTCATTCTTATACTCCACACTATAGCTTACAAACACCATTTGATATTTTTCCTGCTAATCATCTGCTTGACCTTGTGCAGATAGATGCTGTAAAAATACACTTTTTTTACACCTTATTTCTTAATACTGTAGCAAGTATTTCAATTCCAATACTTAAGTTTCAAAGGGTTATCTTAGTTTAAGGCTCGAGTCTGATGAAATGACTTCAAATATAACAGATGTTAAAACAGGAATAAACTTTGGTCATATAAAATGAGTATCCTGTTTCTGTAAGTAAGCTATGTTGCCTCTTACCTAAATGCAACTTATCATGAATGTCTTTTCAATACCAAAATTGAATTCCATCCAGTGGCTTTATCAATACAATACATGGACATAATCTGAAAACTGGAATTACATTCAGAAGACAGTAGAAGATGTAATCAGTCAATCAGCCCAGTAGCAGGTGATGAGCACCATATCTTGAAGGCTACAGTGCCCATCACCTGTTACTAGGCTGAGGGACTGATTATGTCATCTACTGTCTTCTGTATATAATTCTAGTTTTCTGATCATGTCCATGTAGTGTACTGATAAAGCCACTGGATGGCAACACATCTACAAAATAAAGATACCTAGATGTTGCACATCTAATTTTGGAAGAAAAATGTGAACTTGGAAGATATTTAGTACACTTTTACAAAAAAAAGTTATAAATACACTAAACAATTAGATTGTAGAATTACTTGTCAACAATGAAGTATAATTATGTCATAAATACAAAAATTTAGCTAGGAAATAATACATTAAAAAATCTCCCTCATTAGATACTGTTTTCTAGACTGAACAACATAAAATTTACCTTCTATGGTACTATGGTAATAATTATACAACTATTTGTAATGTGTCAAAGACATCTCTTAGGTAATTCAAGGTTGAAGAAGACTTCAAGACTGCAGAGAAATTACATACCAGTATATAAAAAAAGTCTAATAATATTAAAAAATGTGCTGAAATGAAAAAGTCTAGTTAAAACTAAACCTGTTGGCAATGGAACCATAGACAAATTAGATTTGAAAATTATTACTTAGTTCAAAACTAGTTGCACTTACATATACATATATGATACTCAATTAACATTTACAGTTCAGCTATTGCTGAAGTCTTCCCAAGCAATGCTCATACTGCTGATGTTTTAAAATGTTCATGTCATGTTAAATACTTATTCATGATGATCTATCAAGACAAATACTGATACACACATACGTGCACACACACATGCACACTACTATCACCTTGAAACTTACATAAATTGCATAAAAATATAAGAAATGGATAGTCACCATTCTTAATTATCTTAATAAAAGTCCTGAAGTACTTTTATGGCTTTTAAGGTCCATAAATCTTGAGGGTACGATCCATTGAAGTTGATGCTAAGTAGGATGCATTTGACCCAAACCGAACTCCAGTGGCCATGGCTGTGTGGTCATTAAAAATCCTAAGGTCACTCCACTGTTTACATAGGTACACTCTGAAAGTAATAAATAGAATAAAACATTTAAATGTATTAGAAATGTATAATAAAAATATTTAATTTGTTTAACTAGGATTGCAACTGCTTAAGGTACCTCATTATGAGGCACAATAAATGAGAACAGGATTAGTGTATAGGACAAGGAGGAATAACATCTCGGTGGGAGACGGCCGACTTGTTGAAAAAAAAAAAAGGAGTGAGGAAGAGCCAGTTGTGAGTGTGGGGGAAGTTTGTGAGGCAGTGGGTAGGATGAGAGCAGGTAAGGCAGCAGGGATTGATGGGATAAAGATAGAAATGTTAAAAGCAGGTGGGGATTAGTTCCGGAGTGGTTGGTACTTTTATTTAATAAACGTAAAGAAGAGGGTAAGGAACCTAGGGATTGGCAGAGAGCATGCATAGCTCCTTTGTATAAAGACAAAAGGGACAAAAGACACTGCAAAAATTATAGGGGAATAAGCCTGTTGAGTATACCTGGTAAAGTGTATGGTAGAGTTATTACTGAAAGAATTAAGAGCAAAATAGAGAGTAAGATAACAGATGAACAAGGAGGCTTTAGGAAAGGCATGGGGTGTGTAGATCAAGTGTTTACAGTGAAACATATAGGCGAACAGTATTTAGATAAGGGTAAAGAGGTTATTGTGGCATTTATGGATTTGGAAAAGGTGTATGACAGGGTGGATAGGGGAGCAATGTGACAAATGTTGCAAATGTATGAAATAGGAGGTAGGTTACTGAAATCAGTGAAGAGTTTTTATGAGGATAGTGAGGCTGAGGCTAGAGTATGTAGGAGAGAGGGAGATTATTTCCCAGTAAAAGTAGGCCTGAGACAAGGATGTGTGATGTCACCGTGGTTGTTCAATATAGAACCTCTCCTCACTTAGCGACCTTCTCGTTTACCAACGACTTGGACTTACAGCGGGCTCTCTGACCAGTGTGCACATAAATAATGATTTCCTCAATTCTGTTTATTACAATATACAGTACAATACTGTGTAAACATTTAAAAATATACCAGAAATGTTATAAATGGTGCAAAGGTGACATTAAAACAATATCAAAGATGGTTGACACAAACCCACTACCATTATAGTATGCTCCTCACTTGCCGACAAATTAGTTCACCGAAGTGGTCTTAGGAATGGAACTCTCTCGTTAACTGAGGAGAGGCTGTATTTATAGATGGGGTTGTAAGAAAAGTGAATGCTCGGATGTTGGCAAGAGGTGTGGGGTTAAAAGATAAAGAAGCCAACACAAAATGGGAGCTGTCACAGTTGCTCTTTGCTGATGACACTGTACTTTTGGGAGATTCTGAAGAGAAGTTGCAGAGGTTGGTGGATGAGTTTGGTGGGGTATGTAAAAGAAGAAAATTAAAAGTGAATATAAGAAAGAGTAAGGCGATGAGGATAACAAAAAAATTAGGTGATGAAAGATTTGATATCACATTGGTGGGAGAGAGTATGGAGAAGGTGAATGTATTCAAGTATTTAGGAGTGGACGTTTCAGTAGATGGGTCTATGAAAGATGAGGTGAATCACAGAATTGATGAGGGAAAAAGGTGAGTGGAGCACTGAGGAGTCTGTGGAGACAAAGAACTTTGTCCATGGAAGCAAAGAGGGAAATGTATGAGAGTAGTTATACCAATGTGCTTATATGGGTGTGAAATATAGGTGGTGAATGTTGCAACAAAGAGAAGGCTGGAGGCAGTAGAGACGTCATGTCTGAGAGCAATGTGTGGTGTGAATATAATGCAATGAATTCGTAGTTTGGAAATTAGTAGGGAATGTGGGATTACCAAAACTATTATCCAGAGGGCTGAGGAGGGGTTGTTGAGGTGGTTCAGACATGTAGAGAGAATGGAACGAAACAGAATGACAGAGAGTATAAATCTGTAGTGGAGGGAAGGCAGGGTAGGGGTCAGTGTAGGAAAGGTTGGGGGAGGGGGTAAAGGAGGTTGTGTGTGCAAGGGGCTTGTACTTCAAACAAAAATGCGTGAGCGTGTTAGATAGAAGCAAATGGAGACAAATGGTTTTTAGGACTTGACGTGCTGTTGGAGTGTGAGCAAGGTAGTGTTTGCACTCTGAAGGAGGGGTGTTAATGTCACAGTTTTATAACTGCAGTGTAAGCGTGCCTCTGGCAAGACAGTGATGGAGTGGATGATGACAAAAGTTTTTCTTTTTCAGGCCAACCTTGGTGGGAGATGGCCAATGTGTTAATAAAAAAAAAAAAAGACCAGCAGATTCCAAAACCTGACTTAGAAGTGATCTTCTATTTCTCAAATTAGGAAGCAGTGTTTACATTTCAACCTCTCTACATTACATAAAATACTATGGCAGAATTAAAAGCATATTCCAAATGATGCACTGAATGCAATAGTCATAATTATGCTGGAGGAAGGAAAGCTAATCTCTTGTTATGTGCCTTTTTCTTTGTTATCAAAAAAGTGCAATTTTTGCAAGTTTTCCTTTCCTCAGTGAAGATTCAGAATTTAGTCATGATACTATTTGTATTATTAAAAAACAGGATGCACCATAGCTGGTGGTGATACTGATGCTGGTACAGGTGCTAAAGATTGTAGGGGGTCAGGAAAAACCGTGTCAGTAAGGAACCCAGTCACAAAAAATCCTAGCAAACAGAAATCAAATCTATGCAGATTCTATGCCTTGGTTATCTGTAGGCATGGAATATCTGGAAAAAAACAGGTGAGACATGCAATTTTGACCATCCAAAAAAATGCTGCAACCACATGACCAAAGGAGTATGCAATTCTTCTTCCTGTAAACTATTTCACCCTGAAATGTGTTAATCAGTCTATGAAAGACAATGTTACAACACAAACTGCCAGGCACACCATTTAAAGGAGACCAGAAGGTACAGATCCCACAAACTAAGAAAGTTACAACCACTTCATAGAAAAAGATTGTTTAGTGACCTAACAAGAAAAACACAAGTTTTTCCTTTTCAATTTAGTAATTCATACAGGATAAGGGGTTACTAGCCCCTTGTTCCCAGCACTGTAGTCACCTCCTACGACACACATGGCTCATAGAAGAAGAATCCTCTTCCACTTCTCCATGGAGTCCAGGTAAAATACATATGTAAAATGGGAAGATAAAAAATGAACATAGGAAATAGCATGGCAATGAAAGTAGCAAAGATATCTAGTTAACAAAAGACTGAATATCAGATGGGAGAGATGGAGTATGGAGGAATAGATACATTTAGGGCTGAATTTGTCAGCAGCTGGATCTATGAAAGATGAGGTGAACTATAGAATAAATGTGGAGTAAAAGATGAGTCTGTGGAGACAAAGAACTTTGTCCTTGGAGGCAAAGAGGGGAATGTATGAGAGTATAGTTTTACCAACGCTCTTATATGGGTGTGAAGCGTGGGTGATGAATGTTGCAGCGAGGAGAAGGCTGGAGGCAGTGGAGATGTCATGTCTGAGGGCAATGTGTGGTGTGAATATAATGCAGAGAATTCGTAGTTTGGAAGTTAGGAGGAGGTGCGGGATTACCAAAACTGTTGTCCAGAGGGCTGAGGAAGGGTTGTTGAGGTGGTTCGGGACATGTAGAGAGAATGGAGCGAAACAGAATGACTTCAAGAGTGTATCAGTCTGTAGTGGAAGGAAGGCGGGGTAGGGGTCGGCCTAGGAAGGGTTGGAGGGAGGGGGTAAAGGAGGTTTTTGTGTGCGAGGGGCTTGGACTTCCAGCAGGCATGCGTGAGCGTGTGTGATAGGAGTGAATGGAGACAAATGGTTTTTAATACTTGACGTGCTGTTGGAGTGTGAGCAAAGTAACATTTATGAAGGGATTCAGGGAAACCGGCAGGCCGGACTTGAGTCCTGGAGATGGGAAGTACAGTGCCTGCACTCTGAAGGAGGGGTGTTAATGTTGCAGTTTAAAAACTGTAGTGTAAAGCACCCTTCTGGCAAGACAGTGATGGAGTGAATGATGGTGAAAGTTTTTCTTTTTCGGGCCACCCTGCCTTGGTGGGAATCGGCCGGTGTGATAATAAAAAAAAAAAAATAAAATAAAAGATGAGTGATTCATTGAGGCATCTGTGGAAAAGAAAAAAAATTATCCATGGAGGGCAAAAAAAGGGAACCTATCCAAATATAATAGTACCAACACTGCTATATGGATATGAGGCATGTTTTCTGAACTTTGGAGCAAGGACGTTGGAGGCAGCAGCAATATCATGTTTGAGGGTGATTGAATATTAACCAGAAGGTGAAATTCCCCCCTCTCTCTTCCTCCTCTCCCTTTGGGGTATTTTTGAAAAGGTTTCTTTCTTTTTTTTAATCGTTTTTTCTCCCCTTTTTTTACCAAAGGCCTGGAACTAGGAGCTTTTTTTGGGAAAGCCATGGGGGGTTTATTTGCATTTTGAAAACTCTAAAAACGAGGGGAAAAGTATTACAAAATGTATCGTATGAACTCAGGGGGTTTTTTCGTCCTCCCGCGGGGATAAACAATGGCACCCGGGGCTGTGAAGGGAGTGGGGGGCGCTCAGGGCCTTTGCTTTACCCCTTTTTGGGAAACAAAAACCACTTTTTGAGAGTCAATGAAAATTTGCGAGTCAATTTTTTTTAAAACAAAAAAAAAGTTATGATTTTCGAAAATTAGGGTTTTAAAAGGGCTTACAAAAAACGGGGTCCACTTTTAACAGTGGTACCTAAAAGTTTGGGAACGGGCCCCAACCTCGAAAAAATTTAAGGCAAGGGGTTTTTTTTTGAAAGTGCTTTTTGTAAGTGTATTTTTGGGGTCAAAAGGGATTAATCTAATTTACTTTTTCCCCTTTGGGAAAAAATTTTCTTTCGGTATCGGACTTGAAAGCCTTCGGAAAAAATTTAATTTTGAAACTCGAGGTCCCCACTATATGTTTTTAAAGTTATATGAAACTTACAAAACCTAAAAAAACCTTTTTTAATTACAAAATTTTTAAATTATTACCAAATTTTTTTTTGATAAAATTTATGAAGATTATTGTAGCTAGCAAAC